CACATAGCCTTCACTTCCATGTGTTTTTCCAAGAGGGGCCCAGCTTTCCAGCAAGACCCTGCACAGTGCCCTGGGGACAGGCAGGTCACAGGGACAGGAGCCAAAAGCCACAAAGAATGGTGAGAGATCCCCAAAGACATCCAAAGACCCAGACAGCCTGAGATCCACACATGGATTTGGAGAGGCCCAAGCGTGGAAGAACATGAGGGGACAGAACTCAAGTGCTGACAGCAACAGAGCTGCTGCTAGAGGAAGGAAAACTCAGCATTCCGAGAGGGTCAAGAAGTCTTGCGCTATCCAAAGAGGCACTGAGGATGAGACAGAAGGGGTGTGACTGGAGCCACAGCTCCCAGCTGTGCCAAAAGGGTGCATGGGAGCTCTGCTGTGCCCTGGGGGCAGCCGGAACTCGGCCCAGGGAACACTCCCTGCTCCACCAAAACTGCAGGGCAAGTTGGGACACAGCCTAAGCACCAAGCAGCTGATCCCCTCGGGCACCTGAGCCAAAGGAAGGGAGCGAAGCAACTCTGCTGGGAAGGGGGAGTTTTCCTTGCACAAAACATGCCAAGGGATCTACAACGACCAGAGCTGGCCAAGACCTCCTCAGACATGCTCCTGCCAGGACAATCCCTGCGGATCCCATCGCATCGCTGCGGAGTGAGGCCAGGACCACCTATTGCCATTGAGGGACGCCCACGGCCAGGCCCCAGCTGGAATATTCCTCCAGTGTTGGGCACCTTACCTCCGCAGGGATGGAAAAATTCTGGAGCAGATCCAGAGAGGAGCTACTAATAGATATGGAGGGTCTTAGCTATGCTGAGAGCCTGAAGAGCTTAAGCCCATTCAGTTTGGAGAGGAGGAGGAGGAGGCTACGAGGGATCTTCGCAGTGTGGGAGCACCTAAAAGGGGATCATAAAGACTCGGGTCAGGAGCTAATCCGGCTCAGGAATGGGAAAAACAACCCCCAGACGCTCCTGGCAAGGCTTCCCCCCATCCCGAGGGCTCGCTGGGCTGGGCCTGGCAGCTGATCTGGGGGGATTTGGGATGTGTGTGAGATAGAACCCCCACCCCGCCTCACACCGGTGCCGCACTCACGTTTGCGAGCCTGAGCCTCGAACTGCGACAGGTTCTGCCGGGTCGCCAGCCTCACCTCCACCTTGTCTCCATTCAGGATCTTTCCAGGAAGCAGCTCCAGGAGTTTATGGACCGAGTTCTCGGAGGCCACCACCACCTCCGCATACCTGCGCGGGAGAGAGGGAGGTTGAGCCCTGAACCTGCGGCAGAGACCTCCCCCAGCCCCTCCTCCTGATCCCATCCCACCGTTCCACTCCCCCTCCTCACTTCTCCATGCTCTTTGGGATGCTCCATGGATTCCCTGTCTCAGGCAGGAAAAGCACTGGCTGCTCCTCACCCTCCACCAAACAATGGATGTGGCCATGAGGGCCTGGCTCCCATCATTCCCACCTGAAATTCCATTGGCTCTCACCCCTTGGATTGGCCATTGGCTCGGTTCTCCGCGAATTTCAGCTCCACCACGTCATAGACTCCAATGGAGCGGATGGTCTGGATCAGTTGCTGGTCAGTCGTCCACTGAGGGCATAGGGAAAGGCTATGGTATCCATGTCTGTCCCCAGTGTCCCCCTACCAACATGAGGAATGTCACCCCCAGACTTCCTCAGGGAGCTTAAAATCATCCAGAACAAGCCTTGGGAATGGATAACAGCAACAAGTTCTCCTGACAAGACAGAGCCTTCCCAAAACTGTTCCTGCATCCCTGAGCAGGAAAAGGCAACTCAGGAGCAGCACCCCAAAATTACAGCTTCAAAGGGACATCAGCAGATACCCCTGCCCAGAAGCTCCTCAGGGATACAAATCCCTTTTCCCTGAGGATCACAAAGCCGAGCCCAGCTCACAATCCAGCTCAGCATTGAGGGGGAGCAGGCCCCTCAAAATCCCTTCCCCTCCCCTAGAGAGCCCAGCAGCCCCTCAGAGGTTCCCCAGGAATCCCGAATTTCCCAGGAAGATGAGCTCACCCAGGAGAAGCTCCCGACGTAGACGGCGGCCCTCTTGTTCCGGAGGCCGCTGTAGGTGTACAGGATGGCCGGGGGTTTGCTGTTGGGCTTGGGAGACGGCTCCTGACGGATCTCCGGAGGCGCTTCCGAGCTGCTGGAACGCTTTTCCTGGGGCTGGGAGCTGGCTGCTAACACGTCGTCGTAGAGATCCATCTGGTCAGCATTACTGAACTCCGGGTCCTGCTGGGAAAATGTCATGAGATCCTGCCTTGGGAAGGGCTTGGGAAGCCTTCTTTGCCCTTTCCAAACCTGCTGTCCCAATTCCCAAGCGGAATTTCCAAGCCGAGTTCAAAGGTTTAAGGCCCAAATCATTTGGTTTGGGTCTATGCACAGTTGGGAATTACAGCCACCCCTTGCCTGGGCAATCCCAAAAAACAGGATGATGGTCTCTGATTTCATGGAATCATGAAATGGTTGGGGTTGGAATAAGGACCTTAAGGATGATCCCATCCCACCTCCTGCCATGGGATACCTTCCACTATCCCAGGTTGCTCCAAGCCCTGTCCAACTTGGCCTGGAACACTTCCAGAAATGGAGCAGCCACAATTTCCCTGGAAATCCATTCCAGGACTTCACCATCCTCACAGGGAAGAAATTCTTCCCCAATATCTCATCTAACCCCCCACTGAGCTCCAGCACATTCCAAGGATCAGCCCACTTGGATCCCACACAATAGAAGACCCTGTTGCTGCCACCAGGAAGAAATTCCCAATTTGGAGGGCACGAATTCAGTGGTGGAAACCAAATGGTAGGCAAAACCAAATCCCAAATAGGGATGAGCCTATTGCTCCTTGGCAACATGTGTCCCAAAAATCCAACTTTGGAATTGCACACCCCCTTCAAACCATGCCCAGCACCCCAAACTTGCTCATTTTTGGGCAAAAAGCCCTTTTTAGGGTAGGAGCTCTCACACATTGGATCTATCTCTATGGTAGAGGAAGCTCAGGAAGCACCAAAGCTGGGAATCCCAGCATGTCCTAGATCTGCCTCCCAATTCCCATTCTCTCCCAGACTATATTTAATTTGGAATGTCCAGCAAGTGCTGTGTTTACTGTGGATCCCAGTTCCTCGTTCACATTGTGCTGAATGTTTCATCCCACAAAATCACTCCATGAGGATCCGTCCCACAGGAGCTGGTGTGCCACAAAAACGAGAGGTTCTGCTCCCAGATTTTCAATTCCAGGCAGTTTGGACAATGTTTTCTGCTGGAGACAGTCTGAGGATCAGGGAATTGCAAACACCCTCTTGGGAGCTGGACAGAGAAGGATGCTCAGCACACAGCTTTCCAAAGATTGTGGAAACCCAGGAATCCAAAAAGTCCAACCATTTTCCCTCTCCCTGAACTTTTGCATCCAGCTCTTTCCCTGGAGCTGATAAAAGAATGATTTGAAAAGGGAGCTGTAGTTTTGTGTTCATTTCCCAAAAAAGCTCAAGTGTTTGGTTAATCCAACTCCCACGCTCCCACCTCCACCAGGAGCCTTTGGACACAGCCCAAGGCTGGAAGATTCCCGCCTGGAAGTTTCAGAAAGTCAAAACCAAAAATAGGAAGGAGGGGCTAGAGGAGGAATCCCTTGGAATCCCTCAGTTCTGCTACTTAGGGGATTCAGCTTGGAAGATTTGAGGGATTCTCCTGCTCCCCATCCATGCACACTGAGTTGAGGTGCACAGGGATGAAGCTGGGCACTGTTAGAGGGAATCACCACGTGGGAATGTGGGATTTGGAATTGCACTGGCATCCCTGGAGTGCCACAGGGACACCACAGCACCTCCCCACTGCTTTGATCCTGGCATGGATTTATTCCCGGTGCTCTCCTGCCACACATCCCAGAGGGAGGAACCATTCCAGCTTTGAGAATCCTCCATCCACTTGGTCCTCCCAGGAGATTCCATGGGATATTCTCACCCAGTAACCAGAAAAAGCTTCTCTTGATCACTGCAGGAGCTCACAGGAATTCCTTTCTCCATGGTGATTCCTTCCTCCGGGTGCTTTGCTTCCAGTTTCCATGACTTTTCCTCCTGCCAACTTCTCTCCACAAGCAGTTTTGAATTTTCCAACATCTGCCTTCGCACTTGCTTTCCCATATCCAAGAACTCCCTAAAATCTGCTTCTCCAACACCCCCTTCCTTCATCATTTCCTCCTGTGAATCCCAGATATTCCTGGGATGGGACAAGCAGCACAGGAACAGCGAGCTCCTGCACAGATTCCAGCCTGGGTGATCCCATGGATTTGGCTTCTGGTATCCCCTCACTGTGTAATTCCCTGGAAATGCTTCTTCCAGCTGGAATTTCTCATTTTTCCAACCAGGACACAGCTAAGCTCCTAAATCCCAAACATTCCGTGACCAGCCACGTGTCACAACCCCCAGGGAAACCGTTTAATCACAGCTGGAGGTGGCAGCCACCGAGATTTGGGAACGATTGGGAACGATCCTTCCCTTTTCCCAGCCACACCAGTTGCATCTTCCACCAGGATGAGCTGCAGGACACTGGGATCTCTTCCCGAAAGAAAAGGGGGGGATGTGCACCCCCATCCAGCCCTCACCTGCGTGAACTCCTCGTCGGCGTAGATGTCAATCAGATCCACTCCCTCGGACATATTTCCAGAGGCGGGAAGAGCGGGAGCCCGGGCTGGGACCGGGCGGAGCCAGGACACGGAAGGTGCTCTGGGAATGGGGGCAGGGGGTCACTGAGGCCCTGGGGACCGGCTGGGGGCGTCCCCCCAAATCCCTGCGAGCCCCAAATCCCCTTTCCTCACCCCAGGCACTGTGTGCCCCTAAATCCCCTCTTCCCTCCACATACCTCTGCCCCCCCCAAATCCCTTCTACCTCCTAAATCCCCTCTGCTTCCCAAATCCCCTCTTCCCCCTAAATCTCTGTGTCCCCCCAAATCCTACGTGCCCCCTAAATCCCTGTGTCCCCCTGAATCCCCTCTGCTCCCCAAATCCTTGTGCCCCCCCAAATCCCATTTCCCTCCAAATCCT